CTCGCCAGCAACTAAAATCTGACTTTCATGTGTTGAACCGTACATTTCAAAAGTGTAAAATGTTGCTACAGTATTATGAAACATAGCAAAGTTCAACGATATGACACTTACAATTACCCATCACACAAATAATTACTATAATTTCCAGTGCTTTCGCTTCATTTTACACGTTACAAATTTGGGTTTTTTCCCTTCATAATTCTACGGTTTTTCCCATCGTCATCAAAGTTTGTAAAACTCGTGTATTCTGAATGGTTTTTGAAACTCCAACTGAAGATTCTGTTCAGTTTAAGTGATCGCTCAGAAATGTCAAGTGTTATTAAATAGTGGCTGAGAATATTGAACTTTGATTAATTCTCACGCAACATCGATCAAAATTCAAACATTCAGCAGTTATTAGCCTCAAATTTTAAATCAATCGCAACGTCAAAAAGTGAATCAGGTATATATTTTGTTTGTTTGTGTCAATTGAACTTTGTATGTGGGCACCCAATACAGGTTTGGTGAATTTAAAAAAAGTCCGTTCATCGTTCGAAGTAAATGTGCCTTTATTTTTAACGCGTATTTTTTTTTTTTGCCATGCCACACCTAACAGTTGATAAATATTGCCAGACATTACAATAGTGTTTACTTTATGTATTTAAAATGAATTTATGAATTAGTGCCTATTTTGTATGGCTACCGGACCATTTACTAATCACTCAAGTCTAGACTAAAGTGACTAGGAAGTGTTTGTTTTAATAAATAAAATTGAAACTCATTAGATTGTGTATACTTTTTTGGACAATGTCCACTGGACATTGTTCAAGTCAAAATATTATTCATAAACAAACGGTGTGCCCATTCTTTCGGCTCTGGCTGTATTTAAAAATACCTAATTTTAGCAACGAGTGTCAAAGCTTCGAACAAAAAAAAAAAGTTTGTGGGGAAAATACTGTCGCGATAATCTTTTGACCGATAGTGTAACTAGTTCGCAATAGATTCATTCATGTTTTATTCATTACCTGGCCTCATACTAATATACGCATATTATTCGTATTTACGTCGTCTTCTTTCTTCTTTCTTCTCCATTCCTGGGGAATTTTAAAAAGACAAACCACCGAACTTGATTATCGGCCATTTATATTTATATATGAGTAAATGTGTATATAATTTGCTGATATTTGCTTGACACTGTCAAGAAGTCAGTGTCGCTTCTTTGGCTGTTATTCGATCATTTATTTGGTTTTAAAACATCATTCAGTAATCGGACGGGGTTCGATAATATACGTTTCTTTTTCATATTTCAAATAAATTTTGCTGTGATTAGTCGTTGATCTGAAAATTCTATCTTTAGAACTTTATGTGAATATAACTCAAATTCGTAAGTCATAATTCGATTTCAATTTTTAAGTCAAAACTTAGTTTTGGAAGCCGTTGGTTATACAATTAATGTTCGGCCAAAAACATTATTTTCCTCTTTTTTCAATGTACAAATGAATATTTATAAGCAAAATGTGGCAAATGCCTTGTTTTAACAACGAACAACCCAGAAAAAGAAAGAAAGAAAAGAACACACGACCTTGATTTCAGACCCACTTTGATTTCCTGTTGGAATTAATTTTGTTCTTTCATTATCATTTCTGGTCAGAAAATATTCACAGAAAATTTCTACTCAAGGTAAAATTTGACAAATTGTGTGTTGTTCAAAAGAAATTTAAATGAATTCATGAAATATTTTGTTGATAAAAAATGTGTACAAAGTCAAGTGTAATATGATATATCGATCATCGCATTGCCATAGCTCGAGTGTCAAGCATTTCATTTGCGATTTGATAGTTTCATTGAAAAATTTCCAACTTCGAAAACAATCGTTGACTCGGAATGAAATGTGCAAATTTCATTCCCATTTCATTGCTTACGTCTGCGAATTTTTTTTTACCCAATATTGCGTTATTTCTAATCATTTATTTTCTCTATCGCCTTCACATTAGATTCATAACGACTCGCCATTCACTCAAAATATTAATAATTGCGCCATAATTTCGCAAAAAAAAAAACGATGCGATTGACACCAATCGGTGTGATCATATGTGTGATCAGTATAAATGAGATTGCCGGTGTTTATGATAGTTCGAGAAACCTCAAGGTAGTTGCTGAGTGGGACAGTTTGGACTATGTATTTCCGCAACCACATCTGAGACAGCAGGCAATACAAAATGGACAATTTGTGAGAAACAACGGTGTACCAATTGGTATGATCTATTTCACTCTGATCTCTCTTCCATACTCATCTACTGTTGTCGGCTTTTTCAGATGTCGATGTTGATTATCAGGAGAATCTACCTTCTCGCATTTTCGTGACTATTCCACGTTTTACCACTGGAATACCGGTTACTTTGGGCTATGTAGCTGGTCCAGGCAATCTAATTCAACCCTATCCGTCTTATTCATGGCACGAATCGCATGGCCGCGATTGTGATGGCATTACATCCGTTTTTCGGATTGCTGTAAGTAAATAATTTCACATGATTTATAAGTTCTTTCTAATGAAAAACATTTATAGATTGACAAATGTCGGCGCTTGTGGGTGCTTGATACTGGTCGTATTGGAGCTCAGCAATACTGCCAACCACAAATATTGGTCTTCAATTTGAATACCGATACGTTAATTCATCGATACCGTTTCCCACAAGATCAGTACAAGCCTGGCGTCTCTCTGTTCATCACGCCAGTGCTCGATGTACAAGATCCACCGCCCGGAGGAGAATGCCTCAACACAAAAGCATACATTGCTGATGTCACCGGATTTGGCCTTATCGTCTATGATGCGCGCGCGAATCGATCGTGGCGAGTGCAGAATAAATTGTTTTACCCGACTCCATGCTTCGGCACACACACTGTTGCCGGTGAATCGTTCGATTTAATGGATGGACTGTTTGGTTTAGCATTAACACCGGTTTATACCAGAGGTATGTTTCACTTATCCAAATATTGCATCCAAATTGGCGATGCAATCGTGGAACTACTCGAATTTATTTGCATGATTAGTCATAGATTCGTTGGATAATTAAGTGGTCGTCTCTGAAAAATTTAAACAAACTTCTGTTTCAGGCTATAGACATCTGTATTTCCATGCACTGGCCAGCAACACCGAAAACAGTGTTCGATTAGATGTATTGAATAATGCGACGGCATGGCAAAATAATGTGGAAAGTTCACCGAGAGAATTCCGTGAGATTGGACAGCGTGAAGTGCAGGCCACAGCAGAGGCGATGGATAGCAACGGGAACTTATTCTTTGGTTTAGAACGACCATCTGCAATTGCTTGTTGGGATTCTGAGAAACCATACACGCGAGAAAACATGAAAATCGCCGTTCAGAATGACAACACCTTACAGTTTGTTAGTGGACTTAAGGTGATCGTCAATCGGAAAGGAAAGGAAGAACTTTGGGCTATGTCTTGTCGATTCCAGGTACTTTAAATAGTCGTTTTATTTGTTTAAGTTACGATTTTTTTTTGGGTATCGCTCGTAATTATTATGATTATTGTTGCGTTCGCTAATTTGAAAAACTCATTAACTGTTTTTGTTACTATCGTTGAGTTAAACTCCACCAAATAATTGGTTTTAAATTAATGTTAATTCCATTGGCACTTGAATGCTTCAAAAAATCAAGTTTCTGAAAATTATGTAGGAGAAAAAAATTTAAACTAATTTGAACTATTCTATGTATTTTCGTATTTTCAGAAAATTATGACGGGATCAATCAATCCACAGGAAATAAACTTCCGCATTCAGGCTCTACAAGTCGATGAACTATTGGGAGGAAGAAAATGTACTCCGTCACGACCCTATTAGCGATAACACTATTTTAAGACACTACGGCCAAAGCGAACGAATGCAATCGTTCATGATCTTTTACATATGGAATTTTATACAGTCACACCACACGCTCTATATTGACAATGTATTTTTGTTTTAAACCTTCATTTTGATACGCCACTAACATAATTTACACTCAAGTATCTACTTTGTGTATAAAAACGCCATTTAAGGTGCTGCCATCTTGCGTATCATCACTCGTATTTATCACTCACGAAAACTTAGTACTCTCAGATTGGACAAAACGACGAGCATGTGGAGTGACTGATTTTATAGGGAAAATCGTAAACGATTGAAATCGAGAGTAATCTAGCGCCTTGGAAATAGTGCCTTCATCAGTTGTATGAATTTTTTCGTTATATGTGTTCAAAATTTGAATAGCTTGAGTTAAATAATGTTCGTAAATTGACATCGCGTTTGATGGACTTCCAATGACTTATACTTTGTCAATGGTCTTATTTACATTAAAATATAAAGCTATCAAGACAAAACGGTGGAGTTGTTTTTATTTATTTAGCATGGAAAAGTTTAAATTTGTCAAAAGTTTACTTGCGGTCTGACCTCGAAAATAAATAGAAGAATATTTTGGATTGCAAACAGACTTTAATTCTATTCGATCGTCTTCTGTATTCTACGAAAATTGTACATTATTGTTGCTATACTGGTGTATTTTCCTTTTAAAAGTGGTGTGGCGATGTCAATGCTTTGTTTTATCATCAATAGATGGCCATATTTTCTCTCACGTAAATTAGTTGTAGATTTGAAAATTGATATTTTATGAAAAGATTTGCAAAGTTTTTTATTTTTCAAATATTTTTATTACCATTTTAAATTCATTTGGTTTTTATTCGAGAGAAATAAACCAAATAAGGGTTTTAATTCGAAGCTTTACGTTCAACGTTGAGCATTTAAAGTGTTCTAAGCGCAAAAGACAAAAACAAATTTGAAGCGTTTTGTTTTGTGTGCGTATCGAATAAGAGCGATGTGTGTCGGTTCAAAACATTTCAAAGCTAAAAAAAGCTACGGCCTAAAACTTGTTATCAAATGGAGCATGAAACGTTGCAAAAGTCGAATGTGATGACGCTTTTTTTTTCAATTACTCATCGCACAAAGATATGAACTCTGTGGAAGTCTATAATCTCGTTTGATTCATTTTAACAATTGAAGTTCGCAGTTGTTTTCTCTTGAAAAATTGCATATTACGGCATATTACTCATAGCCTCAGTCTCATTTCCAGTGAATTTTATGAAATATCCAAATGAATTTTATCTGAACGAATTTCATACGAACAATCAGTGAGTGTTTTTGTGTGTGCCGAGGAATCAATGTCGCCAATCTACTCTTGTGAGGAGGGATGCACTTGCACATGCATGACATGCCCTTAAATCAATCATTACATTTGTACGCCGCGAGTTCGCATGAATTTTGTCCGAAAAAAAAAGAAGAAGAAGGAGAGAGAAAAAAGTTGGAGAATGTGTCAGACCGAAGTCGAATATCATCGTTCGATTGTAATCAGAACGGTATTGTAGCAGAGAGCGCACAGCGCGCATATTCCATTCCGAAATAATATGTAGTAAATCGATGCACACAGACACTTGCACACAACACATCACCAAAACCAAAACCAAAACGGAGAGACGAATCGCAAAGAAACAAATTCAAGCTACAAGAATTGTCAAAATATTCTATTTTTGGTACTTAGTTCTAAATTGGCACACATACACATGCACACAGTCACACGCATACACACGGAAAACGGTTTCGAGTTCAAAATATTCTCGCATTCAAAGTACGAGTACATTCTACTCTGGAGTTTTCTTTTTGAATTGATTTACGAACTGAAAATATGATGAACGATTTTTAGTCCATATTTAAATTATTTTCTTCCATTTTTCAGTAGAAAATCACGGCGAATGATTATTTTTGCGGTAAATTATTTTGGTCATTTCTGTAGTATTTTGAATAATCATCAGATCAGCAGTTTAAAGACTGATTGGCGTCAGAGAACGGTTAACAATTGACGATAAAACATTTATCAGTGGATGTTTGATTAATCAAAAATTGGATAAAAATTAAAGAACTGCCATTGAAACATAAAGTCAAGTTATTTTCTATTGAAAATAGACCATTCTATGTCATCAATTTCCATCCGATGAAGATGAATCATTCAAAATGTTGCAGCCATTCATTGTGAATTGATTCGGATTAAATCGATCTGTCTACATAGGTTCACTCAATTCTTCTCTCTTCGTTGATTGATTCAGACAATCAAAACGATCCAAAAATGGTACCAATGAAATATTAAATTTACGAATAAAATTTCATTAATTGCGATGAGTATCAATATTGGCGCGTCAACACGGAATTCAGTGTGTTGTTTGTCACCCGTACTCAGGCGCGTTGATACTTTGTGTTTTGACATTTTGGAAATGTCGGTTCTAAATCAGTTACTCAAGCGTTGTAAAGTATACGTTTGAGTACACACACCATACATTCTCCTTTTTTTTGTTTCCTTCTCTTCTATTTGTAATGTGATGTACACGAACCACCTACTAATACAAACGCAACATCGGCGGACCAGATCGTTCCATTCATACAGAATGCACGCATACATGGATAGCGGGGTGCTCGCTGCTCTCGTTTGCCTCTCTATCTCTCTCTTTCACACTCCCTCTCACCGACAGTGTCTCTGTCTCTGTGTGTAACACACATATTCAAATGAACAAAGTAAAAAAGAAGAAGAAAAAAATGACATCGGTAGACTCGCTCGGATTTCCATAGAATGTTACAGTTCGAATCCGCCATATTGTAAGGCGGCTTTATCACATAAATTCGAGTTGGAAAAAATTGCATTTATTTTTTCACAATAAAAACGCAGACCAAATTCTGCTTTTCGTTTCGTTTCGTTTTGTTTTCCCTTTTTTCCGCGTTGTAAAACCGCAAAATCAAAGTGTTACGGGGCACCAAATAAAAATGGATTTAACAAAACCAAGTCATTAGTTTGTTGGGGCCCCCAATTTTTTTTTTTTCTTTTTCCTCGGCTCAGCACACAACATCGAGGCTAAAAAAAAAATATATATACGGATTTTTTTTTCTCTTGTTTTTCGACGATCGAAGAAACGTAAGACATCTGAAAAAGAATTGATTGTCGGAAATAAGAATGAAACAAATTTCAAGTTGAACAAAATAAAAAGCTAAAAAGAATTAAGAAATAAAAACGAACGCAACGGAACAATTCGTTGAGTAAATTATTTGGAAATTTGTTGGGCTGAATTTGTCAACGATAACCCATGAAAGAGAGGGAGAGAAAGAGAGAGAAAAAAAAGTGCTAAACAATCAAATCAACTAGGAAAATCTATTTTGTGTGTGAAATGTACGGCAAATCGAGAAGAAAAAAGGATTAACCAATCAACACCAAAGTGAGAGCGAGCAAATTAAAAAATAAATAAATTACCACACACAAATACTCATACACACACACACGAAAAGTGGAAGCCAATTTTTTTTTTCTGGTGAAGAAGAACACAAAACATCAAACATTCAGTTTTAGTGAATTGTGGTTTATGAAAAATATATATACACACACATATATGTAGTATAATAATAATAATAACAACAACAAAAACGCGATAGAAAAAAAGTCATCAAATATATTATCAATAAGCAGCAGTTTTTCGTACAGATTCTATTGAATACAACAACAGCAACAATAAAAAAGAATTAAAACGCATACCAACGAAGAAGTAGCGAGTTAAATTAACAAAAAAAAAAGTGTAACATTCTTTTCTTTCGCATATTTTTTTATACGTCATCGTTGTCACTGTCATCGTCGTCGATCTTGTTGTTGTTTTCATCATCAAATGGATATCACGATTAGGTACAGTGTGCACAAATGGTTAATAGAAATAAGGATTTAAAGCGTCCGCAAGAGTTTTTATTCATTCCGTGTGTTCGAGAGAGTGATTGAGGGTGTGTGTGAGGGAGAGAGAGAGAGAGAAAAAGAGTCGGATTTTGCTACAACTACACCGAGTCGAGATTTTTTTTTTTCTGCATCTTCTGTATGTTGTTTTCAATATATTTGCTTCTTCGGACAAGTGTGACAAGAACAATACACGAACACGAGAAAAAAGTATGTAAAAAGAGCGGAACAGAAAAAAAGAATAAACAGAACGCCTTCAGCATGCAATCTCAGTGCTCTCCTCTCAATCGGTCCAAATAGTGCAGAGACTTCCAAGCTACATGAGAGTCGTCGTATGCAGCGGCAGAATATGTAAAGTATGTGTGCAATAGAGTGTAAATTATCGGCTGAGATTACCATTAGAGAAAACGAACGTTGTTGTTACAACAAAAACGAAGAGATGAAGACAGAAAGCGAGCGCGAGAGAGAGAGAGAATGAGAATTGTTTCGGTTTCATCCCCTACATCATCGACGTATATCTCGTCATTCACAGAGTGTGAAGATTCGGTGTATTTTGCAATTCGAACACAGAAGTCATCTAAAAGGAATGAAAGACAGAGAGATAGAGAGAGAGAGAGAGAGAGACCGAATGAATGAAAGAGAGTGAGATAGAGTTCGAGAGAATGAGCTGGAGTCAGTAATAGCATTTTAATTATTATTATGATTATAATTATGTAAAAAAAAAGATACACACAACCAGAAGCATTGGAAGCAAATACGTGTGCACTGCATTTGAATGACGGCTGCAATTTGTTTCGTTAAATGTGTTGTTCGCCCAAAGACTGGCCTAATGAGCCAGATCGAATGCACGAGGGATCTAGTTGAAAAAGACGAGAAAAAAAATCGATCATGACATTCCGGGCGAGCCATTCAGTCGATGTGTGTATCGGACCCAGTGTGTGATCATGTCTTGTTCATGCAAATTTTTCTTTGTTTCTCTCCCCCTCTCTCTCCCTGGGTGAAATTGCCCAACAACAGCAAAAAAAGAGAAAGAAAAATCAATCAAATAATTGAAATGGTTCATGACACCGAATGAATGAACATTCGGCAAACTGCGTTTCTTCTTCATTTCCTTTTTGGAAAACGCAACCGAATGCTCACACAACCAGAAGGACAGAGATGGGGCGAGTGTGAGAGAGAGAGAGAGAGAGAGCAAGAGCCGATATAATCATAAAAATCCACGAACAAGACATGATTATTGTGCAGTGACAAAACAAGGTGCTTTCTTAGATGGTGCAAACACTTTTTAGACGGCGCAATCGATACTGTTCCCTTGTATGTACATATGGTCAGAGTGAAAGAGAGCGTGTGCGTATGTATATTATACATATAAAAATATGTATATAGAGAGCCAGAGCCAAAGCCATACAGCCAGCGCCAAAGAGAGCGAGCGAGCTAGCGAGAGCGATGTGTGCTTATGTGTACGGAGAGTTTTTTCGGTGTTGTTTGGATGTATTGTCAAACGCAGACATATGTATATCGACAATACACACACTCGGGGCCTCGCCCGTCAAATGTCGCACTCACACACCCTCGTATGCCCCGCGCGCTCTTCGAGATTCGTATGCATATATACATATATCAGCACACAGCGCCACAGATAATCGCGCGCAACGAACACACCACTAACCTGCGTTGCGGGAACCTGTATAACATTGCAATTTCTATACACGTTTTTTTTTAACGAAATTTCTCGTTTTTTTCTACTTCTCTTCTCTCTGTGTACTGTATTGTTTTTTTTTGCTCTCGGTTTGCTTCTCTTTCTATCTATCATCCCTGCCAATTCCAATTTTTCAATATTTTTTTTTTCGCTTTCTGCTGTGCTTTCGTCGCTCAACTCACGGATAGTTTAATTCAATGATTTCTCAGAATAAAAATTAATTAAAGCATCAAATTAGAGACGAGAGAAAGAGCAAGCTATGGCTGCAGTGCAAGAGGAAGAGGGAAACAGTGGAACCAAACTGTAAATGGGATAATATCCCGAAGAGGGAGTTGTCAGTAAATGAAATTTTCATTTTTATTTTCTTCACTTCGATCTTGATTGAAAAACCGATTCCGAACGATGAATTTGTGATCCGCATTCGATTTGGCTCAGCATTGTTACTGTTGCTGCTGCTACGTTGCAAACTATTACATTTGCATTGACACACGTACTCGGCTAGACGATTTTTTTCTTGCACAGGAAAAAAAAACTGGAATGTTCTAAAAACCAAATGATCGATTAATTTACCGGAATGAACATTGAATGGCGAAGTTACGTCATTCCGGCGCCTTATTATTTTGTGGCCAAATCAATTTCGATGCCATCGAATCAATGCGAAAGATTTGCATATGCTGACCGATGCTTACTTGCCGAAATCAAAGATAAAACTTTGAACTCATTTGGCTCGTCGAAACATCATTCTGCGAATGAGCAATGTTTTAGCAGGAAAAAAGCATTCGGTGTCTCTTTCACTCTCACACACTCGCAGAAAAATCATTTCTTTGTACACACACACAAAGCAAAATTCATGCAAACACCGGAAACTGAGAGAAAAAAAATCGTTCGAATGAAAGTGTTTATGTATCACGTTCTCCTTATTTTCAGTCCATAAAATTGCAGTCGCGAGTTCGTGCGATTTTCGGGTGTGTATGTATGTGCAGGTGTTGATTCGATGGATAAGAGTTGAAAAAATCATTGAATCGACTAAAAAAGAAATCCATTAAAATGGTTTAAGTCGATTTTTTTCCTCGATTTCATGTTCGAATTCGGGTCGTATGCTTCCACTTAAAGGCTTCAAATGATAAATACTCAGGATGATTCATTTCAGATGAACGATGCAAATTGGCAACAAACCTAATCAGTTCCCCTTCCCCCTTGTTCTCGGTCACAAGCTCCCATTGAATCAGACCGACCGACAATAATCAACAGATCTGTGAGATAATGAATCGCTAATCAAACTGTACATCGAAGTGAGAACAGTCTAAAAAGAAATACTGAGAAAGAAGAAGAAGAAGAAAAATGAACACTTTATCGTGGAGCGCACACACAAAATATCTTCTCTCTCTTTCCCACTTGAATATTTCAATAAGATATGCATATAATTTTCAAACTGAGCGATAATTAGCTCTCAAGCTTACTCGCACGAACAAATCACATTCTTATATTCATGACTTCACTCTCGCTCTCGTCTGTCTGTCTTTGTTTGCTTGTTTCATACTGCAAGTTTTCTTCATCTTTTTGGACTGTGTGTACGTGTGTGGGTTTGTGTGATTCTTACTAATTTATTGCTTAATTAGTCACTAAATTTTGATACACCTTGCTTAGTTTTTGTTGTTGTTGCGGACATTGCTGCTGTTGCAAAACGAAAGAAATATCAGGACGAGAATGCCGCTTGAGACTGTTTTTCTTTCCAATTATGCACACATTTCCGTTTTTTCGGCTCTTTTGTTTCTTTGTTGTTGTTGTTTATTTGTGAGTTTCAGCAAAGGTGTTTGACTTTAAGAAATGTCATAAAAACGAAGATTCTTCTGAATTTAGTGTGGATGTCTTGCTCATTTTCTAATCTTTTGCTCTGACATTTGCCAAATTTGTACTCATCTTTTTTTTATACGATTCCATTTATTTTTTCACTCATAAAATTTCATTTTTTTCACCATTCATTTCATTTTGTTCAGGTTTCACCATTTTTTAGGTTTTTTCTAGGTAAATTCCATGTCTATCGATTCCAAAAATGCATTTCGGCAGATGACACGCCTCGATTTTTTCTATGCTAATTTGGATCTTCTGACTATTTTCATTATAGCTTGTCTGAAGTGCATGGGTGTTTCATTAAGAGAATGACTTCACTTTATGCAAATAAAACCGAGACTGTCGAGTTCATGATCGTTTTACCGTTTTTGTTATAGAAGAAATCACATTCCAGTGTTAACGAATGCGGTTGATTTTTTCGTTCGTCAATGGATCCGATTCGAAATTGTTGAATGGCATTAACAGTCAATAACCCTGAAAATAATGCTATTTAGTTTCATACGCGACGGTGCATTTTTGTCCATAATTTCAATGCCCAAGTAAATATGGTTCACGGAAATATGTGAAAAGCGCCAACAGAAACACATACAGTGACAGTACACATGACACATATGAACATTGGCCAAACTTGGATTCCAAGATGAGAAAATGGAATAGAAAAATAGCGACGAATTTTCCACAAATTTAATTAGTGTGACCGCGAACCGAGACTAAAGAAAATGTTATCGAATCGATCACCACACACACACACACACATACACACTGAGTGGTTGTATATGCTTGGGGTATAAAAAGCTGGAACCCTGTCTGATCAGCGGTCATAATTATTCAAATTTTTGTCTAAACAACAACCAATCGGGTGCCAATTTTAGTGATTCACCGTGTGTGTGTGTGTGTGTTTTTGTTCGCTCGTTATTTTGGTGGGTGACACTGGTTCTCAGGTGGTTGTCTCTCATAATTTCCCCGTGTGCAATTCCATACAAATTGATGTGATACGGTGCAAATGGAAATTTGAATCGAAAAAAAAAACTCGATAGCAAACATTATTGCAAAAGGATTAATATCATTTTCCAAACTGAAAACCACATCTTTAACAGTGTTGGGCTTGAAAATCGTTTTGAGTGTTTGTTTGGTTTAAAGACATAATTTTTTTTAACGAAAACTCATTAAAGAATTACAAGAGTGCATTGAATAAATGGAATCGAATGAATGGACTCAAGCTGAGCGAATCATTGTGTTTTGTATTCAGTTTGATGTGTCGTTTTCACTGATCGAAACGATATTCAAGTGATCCTAGGACTGAATGCTTTAGCAATCGACATACATTTTTTATCAATCGCATACAATTTTTCATTTCTGACAGAAACATTCTTGACAATGATCAAGAATTCTATAAGTATTTAGTAGACACTATTTTCATTAACACAATTTCAAAATTATTTCCATTTTGACAGTACAAGCCTCAAAATTATTCTTCCTTTCAAAATCAATCTTTCATTCGATTCGAATAAACGCTTGAAAAATCCAAAAGTCTGATTGTTCTTGACTTTGATAAAAACTGACCGCAGAATGTAGAAGAGATGCATGTGGAAACGTTGTGAAACGTACAGTTTGAATAGCAACAAATATCGCATTAGCTCTATTTTGGAGGCACAGATTAGTGTACTTCAATTTACACTTGAATTCAAGAATCCCCTCAATTATTATGTTATCGATTCGATGCCATCATTTGGTGGCAAAAGGAAAAGAATGATGAATTTGATGATAAAATAAAGAAATAATTGAGAAAATCTCTGAAGTTGCGTTAATTATCTTAGAATGAAAATCTTTGGCCTGAGTAATGGGCCAACTTATTATGAGCCACATGCAAAAAGTATACTTCCATTCAAACGTTCGCATCTCTTGTTCCCATGAGGCTTTACCGAATCGTCCGATTAACGGAATGACTCGACAGGATGAGACTAAAAAATGACTCGCCAAAATTATCAGTACCGCCAAATGTAACAAAATAATCATTTGTAATTTCTGTTTAAAGATTCATAGCAAATGACCAATTGTATTGGTGACACATAATTTGTTGGCTGTTATTAAAATATCGCATATGTTTATTCTCAAAGTGATGATTGTTTATGCGTCGCACCTTGATCTTATCGATCTGAAGTGACTCTTTTCTGAAGAAGAAACTTCAATGATATTTTTGCCCATGGGCAAATATGATTTTAATTTACTAAATTTGGCCACCAAATCACTCTAAACAGTTAACAGTTTGCTATCTTCTCGGCTATTTTGACTCAGGAAGTTTCGTTTACTTAGCCAAATTTCATACGAATCTCGAAATCACCACAAAGAATTGTGAAATTATCAGTTTTTAGCCCAAAGACTATACAAAAAAAGTCGGTGATCATACAATTTGTTGCTGGCCAAAGATTTTCCTCTCTGCTCAATGGCAACAAAACAGTTTGCCGATGATACGGAACAAATGGAAAAAGGAAATTGAAAATGCGTGCGGGCTGATGATGTGAAGCAGCACGTGGATTCATGAACAAAAACGGTTCGATTGTTAGTTTTCCTATAGCTTCAGTTTAAACTTGATACCATTTATTTTGCATTTGGTCAATAATCCAATTAGATCATTTCGTTTGGCATATGGAAGCTAGTTAATGAATTCAATGACAAAACAATGAGCACGTGTACTTCATTTTCTTATGGTACTCTCTCACTCCCTCTCTCTCTTTCTCTCTCACTTGCTCTGTGTTGCACATCTACTAATTTTTTAATAACCTTCAGTTGTCCACTTCCGATGTTGGTTTTCCATTTCGTGACCGTTTTTTTGGGAGTGAAAAACTTAAACGACAGCGGAAATCGCATGGTCCGGTCGACGAAGTCATGACGAATTTGGTTTTAGGTTTGGATTTCAACTTAATAAGATCACATTTGGTGTGATGAATTCGTTTAAAAAGAATGATGAAGTATTCGATCAAAGAATGAAACTAATTGATCCAATTCGTTGTTGTTTTTTTTTTTTTAGTTAGACTATTTTCAAGCTCATATAGAAGCCAGTCCAACAATTATTGGGTCGTGCATTAACTAAACGATTTATAGAGATTCTCATTTTCTTCCAAATTTAAATTAACGAATCATTTGCATTCTGTGTATACGTGTTCCATTCAATTGTAGCTAAATTTTTCTCGTTTTCTTCCATTTACAGATAGAAATCATCGTTGTTCTTGGACGAATCGATGCGTAGGGAAATCGATAGAAACATAAATCAAATCAGCAAATCACCCGAAACTAACAACAACAACAACAACAACTGACACCACCACCACCACTACTACCACACACAAAAATCAATTCGAATTGTCTCGTTAATATCGATCGGTATTTGTTATTTCGATATAAAAAAAAAAACTACAACAAATTTTTTTTGTCTGTGTAAGAAGTAAGTCGTAACAAAACTAGATATAAATAATGGAGTGCTGCCTGTCTGAGGAAGCCAAAGAGCAAAAGCGAATCAATCAGGAAATCGAGCGACAGCTGAGACGTGACAAACGTGATGCTCGACGCGAACTCAAGTTATTATTGCTCGGTAAGTAGTGCTTTCTTTTTACTCATTTTCATTTTTTTTGTTTTTGACATTTTTATGGAATTTATTTTCCGTTTGCAATAATTGCTGGGTTTTTATATTACATAATCAGGACCAGATATTGAGTTGATTGTGTGTCGACGAAAAAAAGAACGTTATCATCACAGTAGTAATGATTTGCTCTGTGTGCAAAATAAAAACACAGCGAATTTGGTTTTGTTGGTATGCGCTCAGCAGCGCAAACATACTCATACACGTACAACGCCTATACACGCCCAAAATGCCGACATTTTTGCATCCCGCACCATGGATCACGACGTTGCTCTCAATTGAATTCATTCACAAAACGTCAACCGGGAAAATCCTGGATGAACACACTTTTGTACTGAGAAAGCTGTTCGAAAATTGACGCGGAAAAAATGGAATGAAATACAACTCAATTTTGTTTCAATTCAAATCGAAATTATAGTTCGATGAAAATATTATGTGATGAATACCATTAAAAAATGCGAGCCAATAGATTTCAGTCAATTTTCTCTCTCTCTCTCTCTCTCTCTCTCGTTCAAATGCTGGATATTGCAGCATTGATTTAATGAAAAACCTATTTTTAAATATTACATAAATATATATTCGGTGTTTTTTTAGTAAGATGAGTTCATATATCGATACACACAATGATTTGTATGATATTATAATGTAAGTAAACATTTTCAAACTGGATTGGATAAACAAACATATTTCAGATTTTAATTTGAGCCCTTGTTGTATTCATTCAATGTCAGTTTGGTAGGCGTGTTGATGCAGTTTTCGGCGAAAATACACTCTCGCACGAAAAAAAAGTGTGAGCCTCGCCGAAACCGCTCTAGATTCAAACACTGCTTTTGTTCATAGGGAAAATTGACCAGAAAAAAAAACTAACAATATGAAAGAGCAGCAGAGAGTGAGATAGAGGGAGAGAGAGAGAGAGAGAGAGAGAAATTGGCAGTAGCAATAGTAATGTATGCGAAAAGGAGCAAGGGGAGGCTGTCGAACATGTGAATCACGGTGCGTTTCCGTATTTTGCTTGTGTGTCGATTCGTTCGTTTCGGTGTTCTATCGGTGCCTGCCAGCCAGCCACCATCATCCCATTGAGAATGACGCATTGCATTGACTGTGAGCAGCAGTAGCAGCAGCAGAAAGTTGTGAATGAATGAAACAAACACACAAACACAGGACATTTCATTCGCATCCATAAAATGCGTGTTGATCATAGGTATATATGCGCGTGAGTGAGAACGCGCGCTCCGTCATCGCAACCAGAAAAGAAAAAACACAGCGACAAAAAAAGAATATTCAGCCAAATAGAGAGTCGAGAAACTGGATTCGGTTTTAATTGTTGAGTACGTTACGAGTAGAAAAGAGACACACATATCAAAATAACGGACCTGGATATTCAACGATATTTTGCATGGGGATTCATCGTTGCTTGCGTTTGCGGGCTCTTTCAAAATCGACGCAGCGATATGAATCAAAATTTTATTTTTCACGGAACTATTTAAAAAAAAAAAACACATACAATTAAATAATATTTATTATGTGTCTCCAATTTCTAATGCTATTATCGTATCGTGTCATGCGACGTTTCAGTTACCATAAAATTGAAACCACGACGAGACTTCAATCGTGGAAATTGATTTACCAGACAAAATTAGCGACATTGCATTGCAGTCGTTTCTCTTTTCAGCGAATTCGAATTGAAATGCATACATTGAGCAAAATTCGCGTTCGACCATTGAATTCACAGTCTGTCCCATGGATTGGCAATGTTTTTCTGCCAATTCAATTCGAATTACCATGAAATATATCAGCTCTGATTAACAATCGAATCGAAATTAACTGTCGTCAGTTGTGATTCACAACGAAAAAGGGGAAGAAACAAAATTCCAAAATCATTCATTTCAATGGTTGATATGCTCTGCATACAGGACCTGGCCGATAGAAATCTGCGTGCAATTCTCTGGAACTCTATAAAATACTGTATCAAATGTACTGGTGATGTGAGTCTTTTTCTTGTATAGTAAATGTTTCCCTAAACACCGCATTTGTTTCAATAAAAAAAATTCTTCTTCTTCTTCTTTTTCTTTCGGTGTGACGATATGAGTGTCCGCTAGCTCGTGCACATATATATTCCGTACACACACCATACTAGTAAAACGCAGTTTTCAGTGCGCATGATCACAAAACAAATTCCCGGTGAATGACGTTTATCTCAGCGATGGAGAGAGAGAGAGAGAGAGAGAGAGAGAGAGAGAGAGAGAGCGAAGGAAAAGTTACATTGATTTCGTATATTTTCAGTACACACGGCGTTTTTCGACAAATTAAAAATGTATACTTTGTGACGCTGTTATTCTCTTGTGCTACTGCTGCTGCTGCTGCTGCACACAGAACTATTTCTCATTTGAATTGGTTGGGGTTGCCTTGAAAACGCGACTCATTCACAAAAAAGGCAACCGTGCAATGAATGGACTTCTTAGGAATATGAATGAAAATGGTTGCATTTTCGAATCAATGCTTTTTGTCGCTCTCTTTCACGTCATTCATTGAATTCCCCGGAAATCAGTCGATTAATTTGCTGGGTGAAACGATGCATTTCCGTTTTTTCCCCTTTTTTTTCTCTTCTCTGTATCCAATGAAAACTTTCTCTCTGTGCCATCATTTTCATTCGGGAAAATTATTTTCTGCGAATTCTTTGAATAGCTCCATTTCAATGGAAACGAATGGTCGCATCGCAGAAATGCAATCGATATCTCTATTTGCACCATCTCAACGAGTTAACGCGAAATCGTTCGTTGACTGACAGTGGATGTTGTGTGTCACAAACACGATTAAATGCCAAAAGAGAAAGGAATGCTAATTTATGCAGAGAGAAACATTTTTTTGTGCTGTTTTCTATTCGGTCAAAATTCATAAACAGCAACATACCTGAATTTTATCGCATATCATCTATACGAGGCACGCTCGACTTGACGACAACACATCAAATTATTATTCTATTTTTTTAACAAAATTATTGTGAATTAGACACACACCGAAAAAATGATTATAAAATTGAAACGCTGGCGTGTTCTGTCGCCGCTGTTACTCATCACAGAATCGCATTAAACTTATCAACGTTCTTGGAAATGAATATGAGATTAATTTCTTGAAACCCGAAAAAAAAGCAACCGAAAAAAATGCAATGCTTTTTAATCACCGGTCCTATTTGTTTACGGAAATACTTTGAATTTTTTTTTGGTTCTGTTTGTTTCATGATATGATTTATGAATTTCAATTTTTTCATCAATTTTATTAATTTTCCACGATTTTTTTTCTCCTTCATTTTCTTTTGCTTTCCAAACAGGTACTGGTGAATCGGGCAAATCGACATTTATCAAACAGATGCGAATTATCCACGGCAGTGGTTATTCCGATGAAGATAAACGTGGCTTTATTAAGTTGGTATTCCAGAACATATTTATGGCAATGCAGTCCATGATTCGTGCCATGGACATACTCAAAATTCAGTATAGTTCACCAAATAATACGGTGAGTGTTGAGGATTTTGGCAAACCTGGATTTCTATCCGCACAAAATATTCTAATTCAATTGTGATTTGTCTCTCGTTTGGATTTCCAGGAGAACGCTGAGTTGGTCAGAAGTGTAGATTTCGAAACAGTAACCTCATTTGAACCGCCGTACGTGCAAGCTATCAAAGATTTATGGGCCGATGCTGGCATTCAGGAGTGCTACGATAGACGACGAGAATATCAGCTAACGGACTCAGCTAAATAGTAAGTGGTTGAACTGCCCCGCGACGCGAACCAATCCAGATTTATTATTGATCACAAATGTTACATTATCGTTTTCTCCGCCAAAAATTCAGCGATATATTTATCAAGTTATTTTTTCAAACGGAACAGAAAACAAACTTTTGTTCAACAAATTATGAATTTTATCGAAAAGTTGGTTTCTATGATTTTTCAGAACCGATGATCAAAAATCGTGATTTTTCATCTAAATTTTTTTCTTTCTTTCGATTTTTTTCGAATTTTCTTCTTCCAACGGAGCCTTTAAAATCAAGGAGAATATTTTATTTAACTAATTTTCGAATTTAATCGAAGAGGAAGAAAAAATCAAATTAAACTAATAAATTTTCACTTTCTCCAGTTATCTTATGGAAATCGATCGTGTGGCTGCGCCAAACTATTTACCAACTGAACAAGATATATTAAGAGTTCGTGTACCGACAACGGGCATTATTGAATACCCGTTCGACTTAGAGGAAATTCGGTTTAGGTACAGACACAAATACCCATTCCATTTCAATTTATTCGATTCGTTTCGAACGTTTTTCTTTCTATTTTTTCTTAATCTATCTAACACAATTTTATCTACTGCATGCTTAACAATTGTGAATGTGAAATCATTAACTGGTGTTTCGATACCGTTTGTTCGTTTTCTTCCTTTTGTTTAACACAATAAATCATTTCAAATACTAATATGCATCGAGATAAGGGGAAAATGCATTTCAATTACATGCGATTTGCTCAAGTGACATGATTGAATAAGCCGGTGATTTCGGTTTCTCTTAACTACACACACAGGTCGAAAATGCAATTATAAAAAAAGACTCTTCAATTCTAAGCTGAAGTGCGAGATTTCTAATCTCCATTGACTAATTTTCGTCGTACGAATTCCGTTGTTTATATCTGTCTGCATCAAGTTTTGTGTGATCAATAATTTGTTTTTGTACATTTTTCGAATCGTTAATTTTGCATGCTGATTTTTCTTCTTTTTTTTGTTGTTTTCTTCTGCCCATCATTCAACGTTTTGCCGAAAATCAACCATGTGCATATTGTTTTATAATTAATTCGTGTAAATAAAATTAAAAATTTGGAAAAAAAAATCTCCAGTTATTTGTCCGATTTGGCTCGAATTGAAGCACCCGATTATTTAGCAACTGAGCAAGATATTTTGCGAGCTCGTGCCCCGACAACTGGTATTCTGGAGTATCCATTCGATTTGGATGGCATCGTGTTTAGGTATAATTTTGCGTTTGTAAGAAGCGTTCTCCCTCGTCCCCACACTCGCCGTTGAGTCACTCAGACAAAAGCCATTCCACTGGTCGATAGCTATCGCTAAAAATGCTATCACACAATCATTTGAGCGAAATCGTAGCGCGAAAGAGGTGTAAAATTGCACAAGGCTAGCCATTTTTATCAACTTTTCGTTTTTCTTGTAGTTGCTTAGAATATTTGTTCGTTGTTGTTGTTGTTGTTATTGTTGTTGCATGCTTAACACCTAAATATAATTTTATTTTCCCATTTGGTGCCACACAATTGCAGTTGAATACAATGTGTTTTTTTCCGCATCGGTTTCTCTTTGCATGTATTGTTTCATTTTAGTCATTAAAATGTTTAATAATTCATTCATCCATAAAAATGTAAATTTTTTCCAGTCGAATCAAACTACTTCCAAACATGCACTAATTTCCAAACATTTATTTTCCACATTTTTTTTCCTGATGAAAAACGAAAAACAGAATGGTAGACGTCGGTGGACAGAGATCTGAAAGAAGAAAATGGATTCATTGTTTCGAGAATGTTACATCAATTATTTTCTTGGTTGCACTTTCCGAATATGATCAAATTTTGTTTGAGTCCGAAAACGAGGTAATTTTCCAACGTCATTTTTATTCTCAACTCGACCACGTTCCGCTTTTTTAGTGGATATTCTCGTATTCATTCTTATCAAATCCATATTTTGAAAAATAATGCCTTATTTTTTTATTCGCAGAATCGAATGGAAGAATCAAAAGCTTTATTTAAAACTATTATTACGTATCCGTGGTTCCAACATTCATCAGTCATTCTTTTTTTGAATAAAAAAGATCTCTTAGAGGAAAAAATTATGTATTCGCATTTGGTAGACTATTTTCCAGAGTACGATGGTAAGTGTTGATTGCAAGGTTTTGAATAGACAAAAATCATTGGCAGGAATGAAAAAAAACTACCAGCACGGATTCCGTGCCAAACAAGAGTATACCGTGATTATACTGTTGTTGCTGAAAGTATATACCGACAGCAACAGCAGCCGTGGCAGGAGGAAAAAAAAATTGAATACTATGTTAAGCGAAACAAAAAGGAATGTGAATTAGTTCCGATGCGATTGTGATTGTTGACGCTAGATGTAGGTGTCTCATTATTTCGAGAAAAAAAAAAACACTGAAGTTGTAATTGATTTCCGTTTTGGGGTGGCGAGAAAAGAGAATAAACGTGCAAGAGAGTGGCATAGGCGGGCGACATGCGACGCGCCATCCAAGTGATATATGATGTCTGATGACTCAACAATTCACATGCCATCAAATGTTGAAATATACGGCTGGTTTGCATGTGGATTCGCGAGCAGCGGCTATGCATATCTGCGGTAGTGCATTGTTTTGTCCGCCGTTGACTATGCGATATGTAGAGAGAGAGAGAGAGAGAGAAAACAAACCTATATAGAGAGAGTTGTATTTGGTATAGAAAAATATCCCGGCGATAGGAAATCACGAATGAACTGAATCTAAAACAAAACTTTGTATATGCACATACAGGACCGAAGCAGCAAGATAAACCAGCTAAAGAGTTCATTTTGAATCTGTACATGGTGTGCAATCCGGATCCAGATCGTCAGTGCTATTCGCATTTCACCACTGCCACAGGTGTATTCGAAACGAAAACAAAAACAGGCTTTTTTTTACTGTATGCGCGCTGTATTCGGTTTGAACTTCCCTTCACCGCTCGACCGGCCACAAATGGTAGCAATTATGCGCGTACTTCAGCCCATTTTGAGACAACTTTTGTCTATTCGCTTTGTAATGGGACTCCACGCTTTTGAAATGCAATGCAAATAAAATAAGTTTCATACTCGTCTATTCTCGCCAATTTCACTACAAAACACACACACAAACACACACCAGTTTTTTTCTTTCTGTATTGCCATTGACAAACCCCACGTAGAAATCCATTTATAATGAGAAATTGGTTGTAATCCAATTGATTAGTATAATCGCCTAGACAAAACCAGTATACATTTCTTGATTGTTCACCATATTCAATCCATTTCGATCGCTTCCATTTGTGTCTTCTCATCTTCAAAACAGGTCCACAAAGAGATGCAATAACAGCTAGAGAGTTCATCTTGCGTATGTTTGTAGACTTAAATCCCGATTCAGAAAAAATTATTTATTCCCATTTTACATGTGCAACAGGTAAGTAACGACCTCTTCCTTTATCCACACACCACGTTCATATTCAAATCGAGTTTGATCACAAATGCTATTGAAATTGATCGAAATATTTGCGCTTCTATAGTTGTAAATCCAATTAGGACACAACGCACATATCCCGTAGCTATTTTCAGATAATTACATCGACTAATGGCAATTGTACACATGCTAAAAATGCTTGCGCGCCGTATTGTATCTCGCTAGAAATTGTTATCGATTTTAGTTTTTTTTTGGTTGATTTTTTGAATTTCTCAAATTTTGTTTTTTTCGTTTATTTAAATTTTATTTCGTTTATTACTTTGTGTAAAACGTTCCGTTTATCGTTCGTTTGTTAATAATCATAAAAAATTATTTGTTGTTTTATGGCGGCTCAAAACTGCATCGGACAAAACATCCGCAATATCTACTGGACACACGGGCTGAACCATAAACTCGTACTTTTCTTTTGTCATTCACTCAATACCAGATACGGAAAACATTAAATTAGTATTTTGTGCTGTGAAAGACACAATCATGCAAGCGGCACTCAAAGAATCCAATTTGGTTTAGATTTGTGACCGCACCGCAACGCGTTGTTGTTGATTGCGACGATCAATCCATATAAGTGGAAGCCATATTTTATGTATACTTCTTATTTATACCGAAATTATTTTATCGTTTTTTTTTTTTTTTTTTTATTCATAAAATGATTATTTTTCGTTCTTGAGTTAAAACCAAAATTATTGTTGAACTTTTTCCACCACCCAAAAGAAAACGTTGAAAAAAAAAACAACTATAAATTTTTTGAAAAACAATAAATTTCCCAAAAAAACAATCATTTCCTGATTATGAAATTTCCAATAAAACAAATGATGGGAAAATACTCAGATAATTGCATCCCAATTTCTATTATTAAATGAGAGTCATAAATAAAAACTCTATAGGAGTCTAGCGAAGAATATTAAAATATGCGAAGCATGTATGCTGCCAAAATAATTAAAATAAATTTATCTAATCTATATTCATCTTTTAATTTCAATAGCATTTTGATTGTGAACTAATAATATTGTTGAAGATAACTAACATTTAAATAAAAATTGAAAATCTCCATGATTTTCAAAGAAAATTCGGAATTTTTCATTTATTTTGCATTTTTTTTTTTCGTTTCATATTTTATGGTCAGAAGCACGATTCACCCAAATTATTGCTGTCTATTCCAATACACAGATAATAATCCATTGGCAATTCATGAGTTTCATTTACTCATGTGCCTAATTGTTCAGTTTTATTTGATGGAACGTGGCTTTTGACTCGAGAAACGGGATTTGATTTGTGGATAATTCACTTTTTTCTTCAATATTCAGAAAATTATTTTATTTTTATATTTTATTGAATTAGAAGAGTTAATTCTTTTTTTTTTTCTAAATTGTCTGAAGAGAAATGTTAAGAAGAATTGTTTTTATAAAAAATGTCTGAAACAAAATTCATTTTCGTTCTAAGAAAAGCCGCGATGTTTTTTGCTATTCAAATTTTTTGTGATTTCAAAAAAAAAAAAAAAACAAGAAAAGAAACAAAAAGTCTCAAACATTTGTTTCCACCCTTGAAATAAAGGTCAATTTTTATCAATAACAATTGGTCCATTTGAATCATCCGTTAATCAATTGGTTGTTTAAAAATTGAAAGAAAAAATCACGCCCATTTTTTTTTCGTCCAATTTTTTCTCCTATTCATTTTTGTTTCAATTGTAAATACTAATGCCATTTCAAATTTTCTCCATTCCAAATACAGATACAGAAAATATTCGATTTGTTTTTGCTGCGGTTAAGGACACAATTTTACAATCGAATCTAAAGGAATACAATTTGGTGTGAACATTTGCGTGTGAATGTGCAATTCTCGCTCGCTTCGCATGCAACACAACAGCAACCGCAACCGCAACTGCAACAACAACAAAAACAAAAACATTTATTATAAATAAATTGATAAGTTGAAAACAAACAAAAAAATACTATGAAAGAAAAACAAAAAGAAAAAAAAATGAAATTAAAAAGAGGATGAGAAATGAAGAGAAAAAAAACACTACAGATAAAAAGAGAAGGAAGGAAAGGATAAAAAAAAAATTACACATACACACATTAACTATACCTACTATATAATTGATATATATTTAAAAAAAAAACAATATTATATTTTATATGATAACAAAGATAAAAAGTAAAAACAGAAAGTCAAAAACAAACAACAACAACAACAAAAAGAAAAAGAAAAACAAAAATTAAAGAAATTTTGGAAGCAAACCAGCAATCTAAAGTCAAATAGGATGCTAGTAATAAATTTATTTATGAATACTTAACACAAGAAATGAGTGCGAAACATTTGATTGAAGAAACCAAAAAGAGAAATGCGCAAAAATGGTTAAAACCGAAAAACTAAAAAAATCATAAGAGCCACACACATGTTCACCGTTGTGCGAAACAAACTGCGAAGAGAAAGAGAAAAAAAAAACAATCAGATAATTTTTTTTCTTTAGTTCGATCTGTGTCAAGAACTGTCCGAAGCACAGCGCGCCTGAGATCTGAGAAAGCACATAGTAGAAGCGCCTTCGGTCGCAGTAATCGATCGAGTCGGCGGCCAGCATCATGTTAAATGCCATCAAATCAATAGATGCTATTCATATGCCACATCCTCTCCCTCCGTCAAAACCAATCAAAAACAAATCACTAAACTGGAACTAAATCTCCGATTGAATCTTATTCGTGTGCTAATTTCAACCAAACAGCTCATTCAGCCGAAACTAAAACCCACACACACACATACACACTCTCACCCAAAAATACGACAATGTTTCTATTTTTTACTACTCGCAGCGCGATTACTGTGATTGTCAATGTTTTGTGGAAGAATGGAAATGGAAATCATTTTTTTCAACTTTCAACACCATAGCAAAAACAGAACATTTCAGTCTTGAAAGTAGGACATTTCAGTTTTTAAAAGAAAAAAAGACGAAAATGAAAAAAAATCCTTTTCGACCGAAAACTTGTTCAGTTGAAATGAATTCAGTTGTTGAAAAGTGATTTTCACATTTGGAACTAGAAGAAAATGACCTAAAAATAAATGAAGTTTAAATCGGATACATAAACAAGCCTCAAAACAACATTTCAAGCTTTGCAATTTGTTCATATTTTAAATACAAACATGTTTGATCCACAAAATGGAACGTGTATCACTAACCATGTATCAAATCGATTGAAAAAAAAGAGAAATCTTTGAAAAAGATGAATCTTCATTGGACTTATTGCCAAAAACGCATTTTTCAAGGAAAAAATTTGAAAGCGAAAAAAGAATCTGAAAAAATGTTGTGAGCAGACACAGAACACATACACAGAGACAAACGTGATCGATAACGCTTGACCGAGGGACACGATTAAGAAAAATATTGAGTGAAATGGAAAATGTTTCGTATATGTTATACATATGCGATCAAGCTAAAGAAAAAAGAAACAGGCCCAATAGCATCAACAACATCAACAATATATATAACTAAGAAAAAGAATAAAGTAAACAGAAGAAAAAAAATTATTAAAAATAAAAACAAATCCAAATCAATATTTAAGAACGACCAAGTTTAATAATAGACTTTATAACAAAAAAACACAAAATATCCACAACTAGTGAAATAATCGAAATGTTGAGGACGAACAGTTATTTAAATGAAACAACAGCAACAGCAACAACAAATTGATGAATAAATCATAATATTAATAAAAGCAAATTATTTTTACTACACGGATACAGTTTAGCCACATTCACATCATCGTCGCAAATATGCAAAATGTGTGGAACACGCATTGGTACGGTGCAACATATAATTGAAGAAGAAGTAAAAAATTAATTTTTCACATGTTTCACATAGGGGCTTCTATCTCTATTCGCCAATACAAATTTATATGCGAAATGGTTAAAATATACGGCGTATACGCGGGTTATATATGAAATAGAAACAAAATATACGGCAATTATTTATATGAAACATTCATCTGGAGTTAGAAGCCCCTAGTGTTTCAAGCATTCACAAACACTCAATTGTTTTTTTTTTATTGTGTGTCATTTACAACCAAAATCATCGATTGTGTCCATACATAAAGTTTTTGGGGTTTTTCCGAGAAAAAAAAATTCTCTTCGGTTTTCGAACAATAAAAAATCACAAAAACAAATCTCCAATTCCATAATGCGTGTGACCTTCAAATCATTGCGATTATTCTGCATATTTCAAATGATTGTAATTTATTATTTTGTCGTGTTTTTTTGTTCCATCAATCGTTTGCGATTTTTCACAACAAGAAAAAAAAAACAGAAACACGCATTTCGGTTGTTTCATTACATTTATTAAATAATAAGATCTAGTGAAATTCATTAAAATTAAAATATGTGCAAATGAAGAGTGAAACAAGCACAGTTATAGGGACTCAGCATTCACGACTAACCGAATCTCGTTTTTTTTCATGCTGCAAATACTATTGTTTTGCGCATAGAGAGAAAGAGGTGGAAAAAAATCATTTCGTTTTTGCCATTTTTCGCTTTCAGTTCACTCATTGCTGATCGTATTCATCATATTGTGAAGATGTTCGTTACGCTTTCTCAGATTCACACTTTTGCTATGTTGAAATCCGATCCTTTTACTGATGAACCAATCAACTCAAAGTCAGTTGCTTGGCAATGTCTCTCGATGAGATGCTTCGCATTTTTGTTCGAATGCTTCGCAAAGTGTCTACTAAATCAATCACAAAGATAATAATGGTTTGAACAAACCCAGTGCAATTGCACTCGAGTGCAACGTTTGCGATGCTCATGATATTATAAAGTGTATTCGGCCTCCATTAAACAAGATCCAGAGCTGCACTTTGTCATTTCTTTTCACCCTTCCGCCGGGGATGGTGATTTGGGACGATGTTCGTTCGTTGATTTTCGAAAGCCGTTTCCATTGAAATCATCGTCGCCTTCGATTTCGCGAACGAAATAAACAGCCATTGGAACGAGTACGAATTTAAAATTGGCCAAAATGACAAACAATAGCCTTTCATATAGTGCTGAGCAGCGTCAAAAGAATTACAAACAGCTGAACTGAATCCGTTCAACTGATCGACCAATTTTTCACGTCGGCCATCTATCTGCTTTGATTCGGTTGCACTTGACAATGCGCCAAAAAAAATCAAGAATAACCAAGTCCATTCCAGTCCAATATTCAGAGAAGGCATTTTTTTGTTGTGTGTGTAAGGTAAAACGAGTGAATTTTGGTGCATTGGTATTTCCATTTCATCTTCCATTTAGTTATGTATGAGTTTTTTTTTTTTTTTGGTTAAAGAGAGAGAAAGTGCTAACGAAAAAGAGAGGAAGAGGATGATGTCATCACGCAGTTCATGTAAATTCATGGTTGATATTTCTTTTTGTGTTACGCGTCGATATTCACCGATGACCAATTTCGAAACAAGAAAAGTCACAGTTTTGTTCAGTAAAAACGTGTCCCATGGTCGAAAGAACAAAAATGAATGACAAATTCCAGTGTGGTTGGCAAGCGTTGACCAAAGTAAAGAGAAGAAAAATCACGGGAGGGGCAGAGCAAATGCAGCGAAATGTTCAAGTACAGGACTGTGAATTTGTAGGATGTATTTAACGATTATAATCATGTGTTATAATTGATAGCGCACCAAATAGGGTCATTTTATGAATTTTTATTATTATTATTATTTTTATGTTTTTTTTTCTGATGCCATTCGTTTAAGAGTTAGAAAGTGTTTCTGTCGATGTGCAAACAAAAAATAAAGATTCTGTTTTGAAAAAGTCAGATTTTGAGATTCCGCGTAGCAAAACAAAGAAAACACACACACACACACATGAATCAATTGTAATTTTTATTATCATTTAATCAAAACAAACAACAAAAAGTGTAAAACCAATTACAATGAAAAAAAAAGAGAATAAAATCTTGATAATCCTTTACATTTTTATTTCTTTTTTTTTGTTGAATTTTCTCGTTTTGCTTTTCTTTTCATTTTTCATTTTTTTAGTTTAGTTCAGCGGTAAATTTGTTTGAGATTTCCGATTTATTTATTGTTTTCACCTCGTCAAATCACTGATTTAATAGAAAACAGGCATGATGACTGATACAATAGTAGAATGTGAACGGCGCGAGAAATGTCGATTCCATAGTTTGAGGGCCTTATGATGAAGCATCTTTTCATAAGACTTGGACACACACACACACACACACACACACATGGCTGAAATTCGCATATTTCCAAATTCAATCAACTGAATTGTCATGAATGAGTGAGAAATTGCACCGAAAATCGAATGTAAGGGGATGAGTTGTTTCAAAATGTTCGAGTTGTCTCACAATTTTGATAAAGAGACATGAGTTGTTCCATCATCATTAATTCGCCAGCAAAACAAAGCAAAACCAACGGCATTGTGCATAAATTGAGGAAAAACGAACTTTCCTTCTATTCTACAATTATCACCGATAAGCACACACGAACATTTGAGTCATTTTATAAAACAAACAAACAAATAAGAAGAAAAAACTTTTATCTAAAAAATATAGGGACAAAATGCATTGGATTGATTATTTAAAGAAAAACCATAAACGTGTTCACCCATTTAAACAAAAAGAAAAATCGATTAACGCATATATTGTAACGTTGATGCTAGTGCAGAAGAGAACACACCCAGTTCTTTTGCCATTTTCACTCTCAACAACAACAAAAAATTCACCATTTTCCAGTGAAAATGTGTTTTCAGTTGTCGCGCTGAACAAAACCAACCGATTTATAAAGACAGTTCCAGAAATTTTTTTTACATATTCAATAGCAATTATTTAATGAAAAAAAAAAAACAGTCGATTTTTCCACACAAATGTATTAAATATTAAATGACATAAAAAATACGCACAGCTAAAGAAAAAAAAAAACAACCAGAATTGCATTGACGACCATTATGCTCGTAGTTTTTGTTTTCTTTTGAAAAATAGAAAGAAATGGGCCAAAATAATGAGGCATTCCAATTAGCCAAGAAAGCGGGATTTTATCACACCAGCGAATGTTTGAACCAGTTCGATCGGCATTCATAGACTATTCATTTGTTTGAATAAAAATTTGCGATTTTTCTTTAGTTACAACTATCTAACTAACATCCATGGATATTCAATGGAAGTGCCGGAATCTGACACTGTCCGATTGGACACATAAAAATCCTTTTTTTCATTCAGAACGATTTTTCACCGTCGTCGCTGCAGATTCATTTTCCATCTTCATTTAATGTATTCCAATCGAATTAAATAGTAAGCACATTGGGTTCTTGACAATCGACCGAGGTACTCATTAGAGACACTTTACCATCAAATCAAAGACTAAGATTAGAAGAAGGAAAATCCATTCGAGTAATCAGAAAATGATTGGGTCATTTACAACCATTTGAGTATTTTGGTCTTCAATTCGATCGATCCATATGAAAACAATGTTTGTCGTCTTTGATTTTTAAAATTTAAAATTTTTACCGTAATTTTTCGTGGCCGATCGAACGAAAGTTCAATTTGAATATGAAAAAGCACTGATCGGTTGTCCGATTTATAACTGCTCATAAATTGCATTCGTACCCACAATCGGCTGCTTCAAGAGAAGAAAATCCAACAAATTAACGGAAAAAAAATACAAATTTCGTTTGATGGATTGCAAATTCCTTCCAAAATGAAGAAACAATGGAACTAAACACTCGGATTGTGTTTTGATATTTATTTTGTTGATTCATTCATTTAATTTGTGGCATCCAGCAGCAGCAAAATGTTTTTTTTTTTTGTTAAACACATACACTCACACACTGGAATGAATCATAGCAAATAAAAACTAAAGAAAAATTAAACTAAAATTAAAACCAAAAAAAAAAAAAATTATTGATAAAAATGTCTTCAAAAAAACCAATTTTTTATATATCAACGATTTTTATGTATTTAACGTATTGTGAATAGAACGTGCAGAAAATCATTGAACATTTTACATAGTTCTTCATTTGCGTTTCCAATGTTTAAAAAAAAAAGAGATAAAAAACTAAAATGATTAAAAAAAAAATAAAAAAAAAACAATCTTTGCCACTAATTCATAACAAACAAAAATGAGAAGAAAAAAAACTAATTACAAACACCATTCTGACCATTTTCAAACATTTCGTACATAACATAATGCGAACAAAGAACAAACAAACAAAAAATCATGTGAAATACTTAATGATATTAAGGCAAAATGAAAATAAACAAAGAACACTTTGGGGACTAAAGTTCGCCGCAAAGTAATATTTAAACAAAAATAAAAACAAAAATAATACTTTGTACCAAAATTTGGAGTTAAATGGAGAAAACAAATGAAAAAAAAAACTATATGAGGAATTAAATTAAATATAAAACAAATTAAAAATTGGAATGAATTAAAATCGATGACACGCAGAGTGAAACACTTAGCAACACAGAAATTGCATCCGAAACGGACAAATTTTGACATTTTTGGCAAGGGAAACGAAAGTGAGAAATAAAAGAAATTTGTTTGATATTTAAGTAAAGAGAAAAAAAAAATCACCCTAAAGAAATAGGAAATAAAATACACATTGAAAAAATAAACGGCATCGGTTGACCACAAAATTTAAAAGGTTTGCACGCGAAAATCGCCACATTATTTATTTATTTTGGGCAAAACACAGGCACAAAATGCTAAAGTGACCCTGGTCCATGCAGCAGATGGTATTTGGCGACGATGACTTTTAAACCGTTACCAATCGTTCGATTTTCTGTTCACTTAACCTAGGTCTATAATCGTCTTGAAGCGCACAGTAACTGTGTAACTTTTATCGTTGCCAAAACGTGTTTTATTTTTTTCATTGGTCACATCGCGCAAACAATTTTGTAAACCAAATAAGATTAAAAAAAAATTCTTGCCATTTCAGTCTTTGACTGCTTTACAAACCATAAACCCATTTTTCTAATGGAAAACCGCATGGAATTGGTTTTTTTTTTGTGGAAACATGTGCAACCGTTTGAATTTTGATCAGTCATACGCCTCCAAAAAAATTTATAGAGACGAAGTAGCAAAAATAAGTGAAAAAAAAAATACAACAACAAAATTGGGGCAGAAAAACGTAACAATTTTTTTTTTCTTCGAATTAAAAAAAAATTGACTCCTCAGTTTTGACAAATTAAAAATCTTGAATTCCAAGAAAGAAAAAATAACAGAGAGTTTTTTTTTTGTCCGCGGAGAATCATCACGACCCGATGAATGTTCATTGCGTGTATTCGACAAGTGAATCGGGACATCATTGATTTTTCCTCGTAATCTCGAAAAAAAATAGAAGAAAAAAAATAAATAAATAAATTAGAAAATAGCACAATCTATTAAGTTATTGTATAAATGGAGTATTTTCACTTGTCGTCTACACCAACATCAACAACAACAACAACAACAACAAACTCTATTTACTGGTCAATAATGTTTCGACCAATTTCTGTTTCCTTCGAATTTCGAAATGATATTTATAAATATTATTATATATGATAGAAATTATGTTTTCGCGAATTTTCATACGCCACATTAGCCGAACATGTGGACCGAAATCTTTAAACACACAAATGAAACAAAACAAAAATTGAAACCATTAGGTTAACACTTTGTTTTTTCATTATTTTCATTTAAATTTGGGTTGTATTTATTGAAGACGATTTGTTAATACATTTCCCAGTTTGTGTTTTTTCTTTCGTCTTATTTTTTCGGTTTTTTTTTTTTGTTTTCTGTTTTAAATTATCGTGTTGTGTCAAAGAAAACTATAAAATAAAAGAAAATCTGTCTAATATTAATTTGTCAAATTGACGTGTATGAGGGTGAAAATACCAAAGAACCAGAAAAGTTCTGAAAACCAAAATGAAAGAAAAAAAAAAACAAAAAAAAATTAAATAAAAATAAATACAAAAAAAAAACGGTGAACAAAGGTTTATTTGTTGTAAGTTATAACATAGACTTGAAAACAAAAATCTTTCCTTCAGACCACGATTTTGTTTTATGAGAAGAAGAGAGAAGATGAAGAAAAAATATGGAGAGAAAAAAGTTTACAACCGCAACCAAATAAAAATTACATACAATACAAATAATGAAAATGAGAAAAAAAAAAAAACAGAAATGTAATTTGCTTATAATTCAAATTAATAAATGAAAAAAAAAAATAATGAAATAATTAGATTTTGCGTTTTATTTATCGGCGTTTGCTTTGGAAGACTTAGAAGTGCCACACAATTGTGAGACTGTAAAGCATTTGTTCCAAAGAGATTAGAGAATGATTCATAAAATTGGAA